GACTCTGTCCTGGGGGGCGGTGACAGCTCCAGCTCCCCTTGGGGCTCAGGGTACAGAGCCAGGGGCAGGGATGGGGATGAGGATGCTCCAGGGCTGCGCACCACAGGCAGATGTTTGGAGGACCAGAGCAGCTTGAGGAACCCAGGGATGTCACAGTTCTGGGAGGTGTTCTCCTCGCTCCGCTGCACCTCTGGCGGGGACAGAGGGACACACAGCTCCAGCCATGTTAGGTCACCCCCAGAGCCCCCCTCCAGCACCCCTCACCCTCCAGGCAGTAGGAGTGGAACTCGATGTAGCACTTGCTGCGGCTAGTGGTTTTCAGGATCACCTCAATGCTCTCCCACTCGATGCAGGCCAGCGCCTCGGGGCTGGAGCCGGGAGCTGTAGGAAGGTCCTGGCAGGTTAGGGTGTGCCAGGGCTCACCCCAAACCTGACTCTAGGGGTGACAGACCCCAACCCTTACCCTCCTTGGGCACAAACTGCGATGTCACTCCCACCTCAAAGGTGGCAAAGACAGGCGAGTGGTCACTGGTCAAGATGTCATCAGTGCAGCCTGGGTGGCAGGAGGGGCAGCTGTGGATGGTCCCCAAGCTCTGGGGTCCTGGCCACCCCTGGCTGCTCTGTCCCCAGGGTCTCACTCACCGTAGGAGTTACAGACCACATGGGTCTCCGGGTGTGACTTCCACAGGATGCGGTCACACCACGAGGGGACATTGATCCGCATCTAGAAACAGGGAAAGCAGCTGGTTCAGTGGCTTTCCCTGTCCCCAGAGTGTCCTGCTTGGAGGGAAGCCTCTGGAACTCACCCCCGTGGGCTTGGACTTCTGCCACACGTAGGTGTCCCGGGTGCCCCGCTCGTAGCGGTACGTGGGAGGGAAGGAGATGTCACCCTCACCTGGAATCAGGACATGCCAGTGGCGTGTGGGACACGGTCCCTGCCTGTCCCCATGGGGTATCATGGTCCCCACGGGAGGCTCAGACCGATGGCTGGCACAGCCATGCCTGGCCACAGCTGGCCCTGTGCATGCCAAGGCACCCCAGGCTCTGGGCACTTTGTGCAGGGCTGTGCCAGGAGAAGGCCCCCCCAAGAGCTGGGGGTGACACAGGGGAGGGCCATGGGGACCCTGGCACCGCTGTGTCAACAAGAGGAGCAGTGCCCTTGTCCCCACACTCACTGAATCGCAGGAACACCTTGTTCTTCTCCCGCTCCAGGTTGAGCTGGTCAACAGCCAGGAGAGCTTGAAATTCCTTCTTGACTATGTGGGTGAGAATGTCCTGTGCCAGGGAAGGGACAATGACCGCCGGGGCTCCTCTCCCCCCGCTGTCCCCAGCCTGGGCCCTCAGGCTCCCACCTGCACATCCATGTCCAGGCGGTAGTTGAGGTCCCCGAACCAGAAGAGGTGGGTGAAGCGCAGGGTGAGGTCGAAGCCCCCCAGCCGTTTGTCCCCCAGGGCCAGGGAGTGCAGGATGTCACTGTAGTTCTGGTTTCGCCTGCAGCGGGGACAGCAGCACCATATGAGGGGGACACCTCACACTCATTCTGCTCCTGCCAGCTGGGGACAGGGGTAGTCCCACAGCCCCTCAGGGCTCCTCCAGCCCCCTGAGACACCCACCTGCCCCGTGGCAGCCCCATCCTCCCCATCCCTGCATCACCTGTGGGTCTTCTCGCTGCCAGAGGCCAGGTGGCAGTTGACAAAGCCAAAGGAGGTCCCGTTGAAAAGGAAGGAGACGCCCACAGCACCCTTGTTCCCTGCAGGGATGTGCCACCACTGAGCTCTGGGGGAGCCCAGAGGTCCTGTCCTGGCCCTCAGGCTGTCCCCTCCCTCGGGGTCATCTCCCTGCCCCATCCCCTCCCTACCCAGCGTGTTGGCAATCCCGGTTTTCACGCTGGAGGTGTGGATGTGGCTGATGCGCCGCTGGTGCTCCGGCTTCACCAGCACCACGATCTTGATGCTCCACAGGCACTGCAGGGCCACCTGTGGTGGGGCAGGGGGTGAGCCTGGGCCCCCATCCTGCCCCACGGCCATGGAGGATGGGGCTGGACATGCAGGTAGGTCAGCAACCCATCCCTGACTCCTGGGGTCAGCACTCATGGAGTCCCTGTGGGGCATGGGATGTTCCCTGGGCTGATTTGGGGTGTGGGAAGGACCTGGGGGTTGGGGTAGGAGCCGTGGGGCGATGGCTGCTGGTACCCAGCCCCCCAGGCCTGTCGGGGGCCTGGCTGTGCCCCCCGTTACCACTCTGTAGTCGATGGCCATGAGGCTCTTGAGGGAGGCGCAGAGGAACTCGACCCACTCGCGGTCGCCCAGGGAGTTCTCCTGGGTGCCGATGACGTAGATGTCGTGGGGGATGCAGGCCGTGGTCTCATCCTGCGTGCGCCCCAAGCCCCTCGAGGTCAGCCAGGAGGCCAGGGAGCGGGGTGGAGGTGTGCTGCCTGCAGGCAGGGACACAGGTCACATGGAGGGGACGTGCCAGACCCCCCAGCTCCTCTCCAGCACAGGCCCTGCTGTCTCCAGGAGCTGCCGCGGGCGGGAAGCAGTGTGCCAGCCCCACGGATCTGCTGTGTGCATCCCAGACTGCTGCTGGGATTTACAGCCCAGAACTCTGCTGATATCCCTGTTCCTCTGTCTCCCCAACACCCTCCAAGGGAGTGGATCACGACTAGATGGATACAGCCCATGGCAGCCAGACTGAGGTCATCTCCAGCCTCTTCCTCAAACTGACAGCCAGCTCAGAGCTGAGGTTTCCTGAGACATCTCCTAAAACCCAGCCAGGCTCACAAAGAGCCACAACAACCTCCCAGGACAAGGCCACCTTCTCCTGGCCCCTTACCCATGTTCCACGTCCCAACATACACCGAGATGATCTCAGGCTCATCCAGGTTGGAATGCTGGATCTTCATCAGCTGCAGCAGCTGGCAAAAAGCCTCTCTCTTCTGCAGGGTGGTGAGGGTGTCTTAGAGAGATGTGGGGCACAGCACCCCGGGATCAGGTGGACATCACCCCCAGGTGTAGGAGCTAGCTTTCAGGGGTGATCTCAGTCCTGAGACCACAAATTTGCTGCTTCCCATACTCCCAAGGGCCCCGTATTCCCCCTGGAAACACCGTGGGCACGGCCAGTGCCACTCACCCGTGCACTGGGGAAGATGAAATCCCTGCTCAGACTCTTCTGGTTCTCACGGGCACACACCAGCCTCACCTTGCTCTGCACGCTCTGGTACTTGATCAGCTGCAGGACTGAATGATGTGGGTCAACGGTGACCCCCCACCTCCCACCACAGGGCAGTGTGGGACAGGGCCTGGGGTGTGACAGGGCATGTGGCCCATCCCCGTGGCATCAGGCCCATGGCAGGGAACCCTCCAGCCCCAAAGAATCCCACAGGCAGCCAGCAGGAGCAGCAGCCCCTTACTTTTATCCTGCGGGATCACCTCCTCCGGGGAGCCGCTGCCCCGCTTGGTGATGGTCACTGTCCCCGACTCCACATCCACCGTCAGGCCCGCACGCTGGGACTTCCCCACCTTCACCTGCACGCAGGGACGTGGCTCTGCAGTTGTCCCCACACCTGCCCTGCCCAGCAGTGACACCGGGGTCCCTCCGTGTCCCCAGCCTCACCTCGAAGTTCTGCACGGCCAAGGGCCTGGCAGCTGGCAGGGGGGCCAAAGCCACGCTGGGCAGTGCCAGGTTGTGCCTTGTCACCGTCTCCTGCAGCGACTTCAGCACCTGCCAGAGAGACGGGCAGCGTGCTGGGAGCCCTGGCTGTGCTGCCAGTGGAGCTTGTCTTGACAGAGGGGTTAATTATGGGGAGGGGGAGCTGTGCCTCTCCCTGCACCATGGGTCAGGCACCTTCTTCTCCAGCGAAGACAGGAGGTGGTTGACAGTGGAGATCTTGTTGAGGAGCAGCTCCAGGTCTGAATCGCTGCTCAGGAAACCCTGGAGGGGAGGATGGATGATTTCGGAGCAGCACGGTGGCACTGGGCTGGCGGATTGCTCGCTGTGGGTCGAGGCTGCACCACAAGATGTGGAGGTCCCTGGGGGCTGTGGGGGCACTCACCTGCTCCCTGGCCGGGCTGCGAGGGGACGCAGGGGGGTCGAACACCCTGGCCAGGGTCTCCAGACCCGCCAGCGTGAAGTCGATCTCACTGCAGGGGAAGAGAGAGCGGGCGAGGGGCGCTGTGGGCGTTTCCCGTGCCTTGACGCGACACTCAGCCACCGAAAGGGGACGGGGACGAGGTGGGTGGCCGCGGGCGG